TCTGGAAGAGTTTTTTTTGTGTGTGTGTAATGGATATTATTTCTTCCTTAAATGTTAAAACTACTGGGATCTGAATATTTTTATGTGAAATTCTAAAAACAATGATTTAAATTTTACAAATTAAATATAGGACTATTTATTTCTTCCTTAGTGAACTTTGGTAGTTTGTGTCTTTGAACAGCATTTTATTCATCAATGCTGTTCAATGGCTACTTCTTTTCATAAAGTTATTCATAATGGTCCCTTATTAGATTTCTAATATTTGAAGGATCTACAGTGATGGCCTCTTTTACATTTCTGACTGATAATTTGTATTCTCAATTTTCTTGATCAGTCTGACTAGAGCGTTTTCAATTTTGCTCATCTTTTCTTTGAAACAGCATGCAGTTTGATTGATATTCTCTATTGTTTTTGTATTTTCTATTTTATTGATTTCTGCTATTACCATTTTAATTATTTTTTTAATGTACTTTAGGTTCTGGGGTACCTGTGCAGATCATGCAGGGTTGTTGCATAGGTACATACACAACCAGGTGGTTTGCTGCCTCCATTCCCCCTTCATCTATATCCAGCATTTCTCCTCACTTTATCCCTCCCCACCCTGTTCACCCTCCCCTACTGTTCCTTCCCTAACCACCCCCCACAACTGACCCTAGTGTGTGATGCTCCTCTCTCTGAGTCCATTGTTCTCATTGTTCAACACCCACCTATGAGTGAGGGACTCTCTCTGTTGCCAACACTGGCGTGTAGTGGCATGATTATAGCTCACTGTAACTTCAAACTCCTGGGCTCAAGCAATCCTCCTGGCTCAACCTCCCAAATAGCTGGGACTATGGGTGTATGCCACTAAGCCCAGTAAATTTTAAGAAATGTTTTGTAGAAATGGGGTCTTGCTCTGTTGCTCAGCCTGGTCTCTAACTCCAGGGCTTAAGTGATCCTCCTGCCTCAGCCTCCCAAAATGCTAGGTTTATAGGTGTGAGCCATTGCCTCCCATCAATTTCTGGAATTAGATTTATTATTTCCTTCATCCACTATTGTTTCATTTGCTATGCCTCTTTTTTTTCTACTGGTTGTTTTAATGTTCTCAGTGTACATTTTTAACTTATCACAATCTATTTTCAAATAAAAGTATGCTACTTCAAGTATAACTGACAAATTTAAAACATATGCTGTGACTATATGTTAAAATACATGTTATAAAGCACATGCTATATTGCTATTATTTTTGTTTAAACTGTTAGTTACTTTTTAAAGAGATTGCAAAGTTTAGTAAAATTTTCTATACTTACCCAAATTTTGTTTTATATTTATTTAGTCATCATGCAATCTGCATTTAGACTTACCCACATTTTGAATGCTTTATTTTTTTAAGTAGATCAACACTTATATTTTTTATTATTTTCCTTTTGCCTTGGGAAATTTCTTAATCATTTCTTACAGCATAGGTGTGCCATAGATACATTTTCTCTCTGCTTTTGTTTGTCTAAGTCTTATTTTCATTTTTGAAAGCTGCTTCTGCTGAATATAGAATTATGAGTAGACCATTTTTTTCTTTTAGCATTTAAAGATGTTACTGTATTTTCTTCTAGGTTGCATAGTTTCTCATTAGATGTCAAGTAAAATTTTTCTGTTTGCATCTTTATCCTTAATATCTCTCCTTTTCTGAATGCTTTAAAGATTTTCTATGTATCATAGTTTTTCAGCAATTTAGTAACAATGTGTGTTATCATAATCTTATTTTGTCATTCTGTTTGGAGTTTATTGATCCACATTCTTGGTTCATCGCATTCTAAGTGTTCATCAAATTTGAACAAAAATGGACATTATGTTTTCAGTTTTTTCCATTATTCTTTTTCCTGCTGAGATTCTTAATACATGTTTCTTAGATCATTTAATATTGTTCCACGTGTCAATGATATGTACCTTTTGTTCTTTCATTTGATTATTTTCCCCTGTGTTTTATTTTGGATCATTTCTATTTCTGAATTCAAATTCACCATTTTTTTTCTTCCTCAGAATACAACCTGCTGTAATTCCACTAAAGGTATTTTTTTTTATTTTTGATATTTCATTTGTAATCTGTCAGTGTTTCACTTGGGTTACTTGGATACATTCCATTTCTTTCCACATCATATTCCTGTTTTCCTCTACCTTATTGATCACATAGAACATATTTCTGATAATTGCTTTGGTATCTGTATTAGTCTGTTCTCATGCTGCTAATAAAGACATACCCAAGACTGGGTAATTTATAAAGAAAGAGAAGTTCAATGGACTCAGAGTTCCACACTGCTGGGAGGCCTCACAATCATGGTGAAACAAAAGCACATCTTACATGGTGGCAGGCAAGAGAGCATGAGCAAGAGAACTGCCCTTTATAAAACCATAAGATCTCATGAGACTTATTTACAATCATCAGAGCAGCATGAGAAAACCTGCCACCATGATTCAATTACCTTCCTGAGACCCTTCCATGACAAATGAGGATTATGAGATCTAGAATTCAAGTGAGGTTTCAGTAGGGGCACAGTCCAACCATACCATTCTGCCCCAGCCCCTCCCAAATCTCGTGCCTCTGCATTTCAAAACCAATCATGCCTTCCCAACAGTCCCCCAAAGTATGAATTTATTTTAGCATTAAATCAAAAGTCCATAGTCCAGCTAAGTGTGGTGGCTCACATCTGTTATCCTAGCACTTTGGGAGGCTGAGTCAGGTAGATTACTTGAGGTCAGGAGTTCGAGACCAACCTGGCCAACATGGTAAACCTTGTCTCTACTGGAAATACAAAAATTAGCTGGGCAAGGTGGCTCATGCCTGTTGTCCCAACTACTCAGGAGGCTGAGGCACAAGAATTGGTTGAACACAGGGGGCAGAGTTTCAGTAAACTGAGATTGCACCACCACTGCACTCCAGTCTGGGTGACAGAGTGAGACTGTCTCAAAAAATCAAATAAAAAGTTCACAGTCCAAAGCCTCATCTAAGACAAGGCAAGTCTCTTCTTCCTGTTATCCTATAAAGTCAAAAGCAATAAGTTACTTCCTAGATACAATGGGGGTATAGACTGAGTAAATACCCTGATTCCAAATGGAAGAAGTTGGCCAAAATGAAGGGGCTATAGGCCCAATGCAAGTCCCAAATCCAGCAGAGCAGTAAAATATTAAAGCTCCAAAATCATCTCGTTTGATTCCATGTCTCACAACCAGGGCACACAGATGGAAGAGGTGGGTTTCTATGGTTTTGGGCAGCTCCACCCCTGGTTGTATTCATGGGCTGGTGTTGAGTGTCTGCAGCTTTTCCAGGTGCACAGTGCAAGCCGTTGGTGGATCTACCATTCTGAGGTCTGGAGGATGGTAGCCCTCTTCTCACAGCTCCAGTGCTCCAGTAGGGACTCTATGTGGTAGCTCCCACCTCACATTTCCCTTCTTCACTAATCTAGCAGAGGTTATCTGTGAGGGCTCTGCCCCTGCAGCAAACTTTTGCCTGGATATCCAGGCATTTCCATACATCCTCTGAAATCTAGACAGAGGATCCCAAACCTCAATTCTTGTGTTCTGTGCCTCCATAGGGTCAACACCAGGTGGACGCTATCAAGCCTTGGGGCTTGCATCCTTTAAAACCATGGCCTGAGCTATACCTTGGTGCCTTTTAGCCATGGCTGGAGCAGCTGGGATGCAGTGCACCAAGTCTCTAGGTTGAACATAGCAGGGGTCTCTGGGACTGGCACATGAAACCATTTTTTCCTCGACCTCTGGACCTGTGATGGGATGAGCTACTTCAAAGGTCTCTGACATGCCCTGGAGTGATTTTCTCCATTGTCTTGGTGATTAACAATCTGTTCTGTGGTAATTATGCAAATTTCTATAGCCAGCTTGAATTTCTCCCCAGAAAATGATATATATATTTTTTTACCACATTGGCAGGCTGCAAATTTTCTGAACCTTTATGCTCTGTCACCTCTTGAACACTTTGCTGCTTAGAAGTTTCTTCTGACAGATACCCTAAATCATCTCTCTCAAGTCCAAAGTTCCATAGATCTCTAGGGCAGGGGCAAAATACCACCAGTGTCTTTGCTAAAGCATAGCAAGTGTCACCTTTGCTCCAGTTCCCAACAAGTTCCTTGTCTCCATCTGAGACCATGTCAGTGTGGACTTCATTGTCAATATCACTATCAGCATGTTGGGCAAAGCTATTCAACAAGTCTCTAGGAATTGCCAACTCTCCCACATCTCATCTCCCTGTCTTCTGAACTCTCCCAGTCTCTAGAAAGTTCCAAACTTTCCCACATTTTCCTTTCTTCTTTCGAGCTCTTTGTACCCTTTCAATCTCTGCTTGTCACCCAGTTCCAAAGTAGCTTCCACATTTTCAGGTATTCTTATAGCAACACCCCACTCTACTGGTACCAATTTACTGTATTAGTCTGTTCTCATGCTGTTAATAAAGACTTACCCGACACTGGGTAATTTATAAAGAAAAAGAGGTTAAATAGACTCATGGTTCCACATGGCTTGGGAGGTCTCACAACAATGGCAGAAGGTGAAGGAGGACCAAAGGCACATCTTACATGGTGGCAGGTAAGAATGTGTGGGCAGGGCAACTGTATAAAACCATCAGATATTATGGTTTAATATCACAAGACTTGTTTAATATCACAAGAACAATAGGGGAACACCTTTCCTCATGATTCAATTACCTCTCATTGGGTCCATCCCATGACTCCTGGGGTTGATGGGAGCTACAGTTCAAGATGAGATTTGGGTGGGGGCATAGCCAAACCATACCAGCATCCTTATCTGGTAATTTTATATTTTATTTTATTTTGTATTTTAAAGAGAGGGTCTCACTCTGTCACTCAGGCTGGAGTACAGTGGCACAATTTATGCTCACTGCAACTTCTATCTCCTGGGCTCCAGAGTTCCTCTTGCCCAAACTTCCCAAGTAGCTGGGACTATAGGTACATGCCACCACACCCACCTAATTTTTATATTTTTATTTTTTGTAGGGATGGGCTTTTGCCATGTCACTCAGGCTGGTCTCAAACTCTTGGACTTAAGTTACCCACTTGTCTTAGCCCCCCAAAGCACTGGAATTAGAGGCATTAGCCACTGCACCTGGCCTGGTAATTTTATTATATATGCCATTTGGTGGTCTGTTTTAATTGATTGGTTTTCTACTATCTTTATGCCCTATTTTCATGCTTCCTGGAACACCTGATGATTTTTTAAGTGACAAAGAACCTATATCTATTTACCACATATAACATATTGTTTTGAAATATGTATATATTACAAGATGGCTAAATCTTGCTACTTAACATGTGTATTACCTCATATTTATGTTTTGTGATGAGCACACTTAAATTCTACTTTCTTAGCAATTTTCAAAAATATAATATACTGTTATTAACTATAGTCACCATGTTGTTCAATAGGTCTTTTGAAAGTATTCCTCCTGTCTAACTAAAATTTTGTATCCTTTGACCAACATGTCCCCAACCCTTGGTGAACACCATTCTACTTCTTTATTACATTCCACAAATAGGTGAATTCGTGCAGTGTTTGTATTTTTTATGCTTGGATTATTTTACTTAACATAGTGTCCTCCAGGTTCATCCATATTTGTTGCAAGTGACATTTATTTTTTAATGCTCAGTTGTATTACCTTGTGTATGTGTACCACATTTTCTTTATCCATTCCTTTGCTGATAGACACTTGGGTGGATTCCACATCTTGGCTATTGTCATTTCTGGTGATTATTTTATTGAATATCAGAAATTGTGAATTTTATGTTTTGAGGAGGAAATATTTTCCTAGAATTTGTTGAAAATGTGTTGTATATTGTTTGGCATGCAGTTAAGTTGCTGGTAAGTTTTGTTACAGTGGATCCAGTGCACCATTTAAACTGAGGCTAATTTATACCTGTTAATAGGGTGATACTCTTTTGAGGTTGATGTGTATTACGGGATTTTTGGGATTTATTTTGGTCACTCTGGATAGTGAAAACAAACACTTTTCACAACTCTCTTTGAGAATTGTTTTTGTTTTTTTTGTTGTTGTTTTGTTTTTTTTAGATGGTGTCTTGCTCTGTCATCCAGGCTGGAGTGGCATGATCTCAGCTCACTGCCACCTCAACTTCCTGAGTTCAAACGATTATCCTGCCTCAGCCTCCTGAGTAGCTGGGTAGCTGGGATTACAGATGCCTGCCGCCACATCCAGCTTTATATATATATATAAATATCTATATAGATAGATAGATAGATATAGCAAGGATGGGGTTTCACCATGTTGGCCACGGTTGTCTCAAACTCCTGACCTCAGGTGATGCACCTACCTCTGCCTCCCAAGTGTTGGGATTACAGGCATGAGCCACTGCACCCGGCCTGGCCTATTTTTATCAGTGGTTCTTTCCCCAGTCCTTGGTAGTTTACTGTCATGATGTGTAGGTCAATAATCAGCCCAATTCATGAAGGCTACTCTCTACTGGCATCTGGAATTCTTTCTCATCATGAATTCACTTTTCCTGGCACTCTACTCCATACATTTTAACATCACTGACCTCCCTTTCTTCGAATATTTGTCTCCTCTGCAGAGACTCATGGAGATATCTATGCTGTGTTTGAAGTTTTTAAGTCTAAAACCTGTCACTGGGCATGCATTGGGTCAGTTATAGAACTTACCTGTTTTTATTTTACTGTTTTCAGAGGTCAAGCTCTGTGCTCCCTCTTTCCCAATGCCTGCAAACCACAAAATATATTTCATATTTTTTCAGTTTTCTAGTTGTTTAAGATCAAAACATAAATATGGCATACCTGTTACCCATTATAGCCTGAAGAGGAATTCCTGAATAGGGTATAGACCATAAATAATTTGTTTGAGATGATTGGGAAAATAAAACAATGACAACATCAACAATAACTAAACTTTCACTATAGGACAATCTTGTTCAATGGAACTTTCTGAGACAATGTAAGTCTTCTATATCTGTACTATGCTCTACAATAGCCAATAGCAGATGTGGCATTTTCCAGGCATGTTGAGCAATTAAAATTTGGCTATTGTATCTGAGAAGCTAAAATTTTAATTATATTTAATTTTAATAAATGTAAATGATCACATCTGTCTAGTGATTACCCTATTGGACAATTTAGATCTAGAGTCTTGCAGAAAAAAGTTAGCATTACTGAACAGAAAAAAATGTCAGTGAAAGAGGACAAGAATAGATTGCAAATAAGGAAGGGGCATTTTTCTTTTTAGGTAGAGCAAAGCTGGGTAATGTGTTTTTAAGATTTATGTTTTACAGTAAAACAATTAGGAAACACATTATGACATCATACGATGAGTGTTAAATAAATGAATATTTCCAAAAAAAATACTTTGGAAAAAATGATGAAGGACTCATGTATCTGTCACTTCTGTTAATATTATTTCCCTCTTGATCAGTGGTTAAGAGGAGCACTTGAAGAGCAGACACAGTGTATGAGTGGAGACCTCTGTCTCAATTCTAGTCTTCCTTCCACTTAAGCATTCGTCAAAAGGGACAGAATGGTTTAGGATGCCTCTGTCATGCTCCAAGTCATATAAGGGAGGTAATAGTTAAATCGATCAAGGATGGCACCTCTTCTAGGATGTTAAGAGACCTAGCACTTTTCTAAAATTGAAGGCAAGAGGTAGCTGCCTGTTAAACTTGCATGTCTCAGTTACCTGCTGACCAAAGTGATCATCCATAGTGACATTCAATTCGGGAAGCCCTAACACTGTAGCACAAACACCGGAAGACAAACCAGTATGTCAGGAACCCTTCCTGGAAGCCCTAATACCATAGACAAAATACTGGGAGACCAGTATATCAGAAACCCTTCCTTGTGTGCAATATTCATATTAAATAATGGTCTTAGCCAGGTGCAGTGGCTCATGCCTGCAATCTCAGCACTTTGGGAGGTGGAGGCAGGTGGATCACGAGGTCAGGAGATTGAGACCATCCTGGCTAACATGGTGAAAACCCGTCTCTACAAACAACACAAAGAATTATCCAGGTGTGGTGGCATGCACCTGTAGTCCCCAGCTGCTCGAGAGGCTGAGGCAGGAGAACTGCTTGAACCCAGAAGGCGGAGGTTACAGTGAGCCGAGGTTATGCCACTACACACCAGCCTGGGGGAGAGAGAGACTCTGTCTCAAAAAAAAATGGTCTCTGGATGTGAAAAATATATAAGGATCTTCCCAGTAAGTTGTAGATGTCTGCAATGACTTCAGGCTAAATAAGAGTCAAGGGGTTTATTCTTCCCTTAGCATCCTATTACATATGAGTGTCTATATGGAAGTTTTATCTTCCAGGTTATCATTCCACCTTTTATTAAAATGTGTCTTCATGATAGACCTAATTTATAGGCCAGATCCTTAAAGACATGGGAGATAAATTGTATTTTCTGTCATTTGCATATATAGTACAGCATATATAATTCACTGAAAGATACACAAAGACACAAGCTTCTCTTAGTCACTGTCAGGATATATTACAGCTTTGCTTGCTTGTACCTAGTCCACCATAAGTTTTAATCAGAAACATGATGTAGTTGTGGTTTTCTTTGGAAAATTCTCACCTTTGACATATAATAACATAATAAGCTGTGCAGTAGATGGCAGTTCAGTTACTATATCATTAGAGAAGAGCAGAGACTCCAGCTGGTCACAAGGGTAATGGAAGTAGAACAAAATACAGGAAAAATGTGTGAAGAACATAAAGAGCTCTGAAACAAGGAACACTGAGAAAGTAGGCAAGAATCCGACTGGTGCTACTTAGAGGACTGTAGTTGGGAGGTGTAAGGGAAGGCTTTCGTGGGTCCCATAGGAGGCTCAGTAGTAAAATGACCAGAGGATAGGCTCAGACATTCAGTCAATTCCTGGCTGTCACTCCTGGCTTTAGATTATAATAAGTCATGTCCTTTGGATATGACCTTGGGCTGATATCCAAAGGACAAAGGCAATAGTTCCTACCAGTAACAGTCTTGTTAAAATCAAATGAGTTAAAATTTGTGTCAGCACAGTCTTCTAAATTAAGATTCATGTTCAGATATGACTGGTGAGGAAGTCATGGAGAGCCTAGGCAGGGTGTGTATGTGAGGGTAACCCATTGTAATGCAATGGAGAAGCTTAGGAGTCAAGCTTGTTTAAGGACAAGATGGAAGTGTTGTACTGGAGATGTGATTTTAGGACCATACATGGCACGTCAGAGCCCACATGGACCTTATTTCTGAGTCTTACAACGTCGGCTATAATCAGCAAAGGAAAGTCTTTAAGAATAGTGTTCAGTACATGAATACTGAGAGTATAAGACCTGCTTTGTTGAAGCTATGTGTTGTGTTTGTGGCAAGGAACAGAATTTCCCTCCTTTTGATTTTCTGTTGGAGCAGGATGTGGTGCAGAAAAACATAACAGCTTGATTACTGAGGCAGAACCATGCATGGCAGGAAACACCAAAAAGATGTCATACTGTGGTGGCTTCACAGGCAGCAGCATCTCCACTGAGTCTGTGGTGATAAAAGATCCTTTTCAATAACTGCAGTAAGAGAAGAGGCAAATGGTAGATACCACTTAGCTGCTGTGAAGATGTTCATCAGCAGACATGAAGCATCCCCATGGGATGTCCGCAATTGATTCAGGAGGGAGAATTTAGAGGGGATCTGGCTTTCCCATTATGATGAGAGAGTGCACTTATTTTCTTCAGTTTTTAGATCCAGACTAGTGAAGCCTGGAAAATGTGAGGCCATGGAAGGACGTAACAGCATGGTGCCAGCTACACTGGAAAGACTAGATGTTGTCGCCTTTCTTCCTGGAGTCAGACGCTTACACGCTGTAGTAACAGCAGAAGCAAAGACATTTCCTTTTAATTCCTGCATGGCTGCTCATGCTACCCCCAAGGTATCCCTGCAAGGAATTTTGAGTGGTTACTCCTGTCTAGAAGTTGCCAAATTGAAACAAATCATCAAGCTGAGGCAGGCAAGCATGCCAGCCCAGCGCAGGATGGTGGGAATGGAGTTCGGAGTCTGGGGTTTTTATTCTGCTTTTGCTGTTGTCTAATTGAATAACCTTGAACAAGGTATTTAATTTTTCAGAACTCAATTTTTAATATTTTTTAAAAGATCTCCAAGTTCCTTTTTCACCCTGACATTTCATGAGTTCCTCTAAGTTCTCAATTCTCTGATCTGTCCATGGTTCTTCAGTAAGTGCCAGAGAGAATGGAGGTTACATCAAAGGTAGTGGTGGCTGCAGAAGGCTTCTCAGAGTAGGTGGGAAATGACTAGGGTGCAGTAGTGCTCAGCAGACACTATGGAAACTAATTTTACTAAAATTGCATGTTCTTTAGGATTATTAGTAAGATATAAGCCTGAAAAATGTGAACTGGGGTTCAGGTCATCTAAAGACTCCTCTCTACCTTGATTTTTTCAGGTTAGTCTGTTTAAAATTAGAACCTGAGCTCATCTCAAGAAGTATGCTTACCACTTTAGGGCAAAGCAAACAATGATTGTACATATTTTTCTTTGGTGGGTAAGTACATGGTTAGTATTTTTTAAAATTAACAAAAATAATAATTACCATTTATAGAGTGCTTGCCTAAAATTGTCATAAGTTCAAAATTTTTAATTCTCATGATAGCCTTAGGAAGTAGAAATCATTTACGAAGGACATACGCATAGCTCAGAAGTGGTTAATCACACAACTGGTAAGTAATAAAGCCAAGGTTTGATTTCTAATCTCTTTTGACCCCCAATACTGAACTTTAATGTTGACCCCTTTAAGGAATCCATGTAACTAATGCACTGATATACCACACAGTGCAGAATGTGTCAAAGTCTTTGGGCAGTTTAATGGTAAATGAATTAATCAAAAATAATTAAATGTTGCAAGCATATTAAACACAAAATAACTAGGGCATGGTTGGATCTCCACATGAATTCTTCCCAGTGAAGCACTTTCTGCTGTGACAGAAATAAAGTGAAGTCTGTCAGTAATTCGAAGCATATACAGCAATTACTTCTACATTTATATGGTCTTACTTTTAGAACTGTGTTTTAATTTTTAAAGCACACTTTTCATATCTGTGCTATAACTGATAATTATTTTGGGAAGGGAGTAGGCACAAGAAAATTTTAGTGGCAGCTCAACAATTTTTAATGCAACAGCTGCAAGGCTTAAATCAACCATGTGCCTAGAGCTCTGAAGCCTGTCAGAGGAAAAATAGTCCATAGTTAGCCCCTCCCACTGCAAGATCACTGCTTTGAGGCTAGCCAAAGTTGATTATGGCGTAAGGTCACTTTCTTCGGATGGCTCCTTGGTGGCCTCAGTAAATGAGACAGTGGTTGTATTCAATTTCCTCCTGGGCAACCACCCAGGACTAATTCTGAAGACCCTCACTGCAAATAGGACCAACCGTGGCATAGACACTCATCATTGTGTCCCCTTAAGGTCTAGGTCATGCTGGTGCTGATTCTGATTATTATTGTTATTACTGTTATTAGATATTCTCTGAGAAGCATCTGACAGAACACGAATTTGGGGGAAAAAAAAAGCACATTAGTTTCAGTTTCTATTGGTCAAGATGAAAACAGGGGACCATAGTGAAATTTATTCTTGCTGTTCCACCCATCTCCTACCCACACTTCAAGGTCCACTTCAGGTCCCAGTCCCCAACAGAGCTGTTCAGAACCAGTAAGTCCATGATATCCCATGAATTCCAATTGCCTCTGCTATATATGGGTCCTTTTATGGCTCATGATCACTTCTGACTTCAAATTGTTTTGTACTCTTGTGGATGCTAATACTCTCTTGACCATCAAGATCTGCCAAAACCCCTTTAGAGGTATTGTAATAAAGTGTCTGAGAACAGATCACCCAAGAAAAAATGGGTATAATCCTAAAATGTCCCCGTACCATGCCAAATGGCTGCCATTTCCCTTTGTGGATGTGATAAGTAACTGGAATTAGAGGTTATATTCTGCAGTTCAGCTTTCAGAGGCAGGAGGCAGACAGCCTCCACTTCCAGAAGCCATTAAAAGAGAGTTGCAAGAACTCACACTTTTACCTTAACAGCAAGCAACACCCCTCCATCTCAGAAGCATTAATCCGTCTCCAAGGTGAACCTAGGAAGGTGGTAGAAGCGTAGTTATTACTGTCGTAATTTGTTTCCTACAAACAGAAGCCTCCAGGTGGAGAACTGTGAGTAGCTTTTTTCTTCTAGATTATTTTTCCCCCCAAGTCCCCAGGGAGCCACCTCAGACAGGGCAGAGTGACCCTTTCTTGTCCCATCGTGTGGAGAACAGCCCAGGATCTATTGGTTGTTGCAGAACGGAGTTTCTCCCCAACGGACAGTTAGACATTTTGAGAGCAGAGCATGCCAATCCTCAATCAAAAGACACAGAGAAATCCAATTATCCTATAAAGAAAACAGAAAATAAATCACCCCCCTCCTCTTCAGAAGTTGACAGAGGGTTCATTCTGATGACACTTTTGAGATAAAAACATGGTACTGTTGCTTTTGTGAATCTGTCTTTTTTAAAAAATATTTTGGGGCTCTGAAAAAAATGTGGCTGTACTTTTGCTCATAATCTGAAAAAAAAAAAAATTAGAAAGCCTCCCATAATGCTTAAGAGATTTTTTAAAAATGTTTCTGCTTTTACTCCCCAGGCCTCCAAAAAATCATATTTTTCTCAGACTTATTCTATGACAACTTTTATTTTCCGTCTCATTTCTAACTGAGGAAAAAACAGGAAGTCATATTAAAAAAAGAGTTTACTCCCTTGTAATAGAATTTTTCATATTTCAAAAAAAGAATGTTAAATATGAGCTTGGGGCCTGGACTTTATTTCCCTATCTTGTAACAAGGAGTATGAAAAATACTTATTTGCTCCTGAGAGATGCTGGAGGAACTTAATGAAAGCTGTTAAATACTTTGGAATCCTTTGTTGGAAGAGAACGTACGAAAGTCTTATATGCTTTTGTTTCACGTGAACTTTTCAGAAACCAGAAGGAAACCCTTCCACACCCTACCCCATTGCAAAAAAATGTGCTTGCAAAGATATCTTTTCAATATCCATGTATATTTGATTGTGATAAATATAGTATCTGACCTTTAACAGTTGGAAAAGTGAAAACCTAAATAAATTGGACACGCTTTGATGGCTATCGTCTATTTCACAGAGTCTCTCAGCATATTGATTGGCTGGAAGACACTGCTGAGAGCTGGTATATAACTCTTAACAAACACACTCTATTAGGGGAGGTGTTTGTAGGCTTTTGAGAACCTATGCAAGATAAATCACGTGGAACAAAGACTGAGATAGTCAATAAACCTGACCTTGTGACAGGAGGCCAGTAGGAAGCTGTGCATGACTTTTGTCTGGAGATAGCCAGTTCCCTCTTGGTTTTCCCTCTCTCTCTCTTTTGTTAATTTTTTCATTTTTGAGGCAGAGTTTCACTCTTGTCGCACAGGCTGGAGTGCAGTGGCATGATCTGGACTCCCTGCAACCTCTGCCTCATGCGTTCAAACAATTCTCCTGCCTCAGCCTCCAAAGTAGCTGGGATTACAGGCGTCTACCACCACACCCAGGTAATTTTTGTCGTTTTTTAGTAGAGATGAGGTTTTGCCATGTTGACCAGGCTAGTGTTGAACTCCTGACCTCATGTTCCACCTGCTTCTGCCTCCCTAAGGGCTGGGATTAAAGGCATGAGCCACCACGTCCAGCAGACCCCATCTTAGTTCTCTATACAGTGGAGAGCATATCTATCCCTCTGATTAAAGGCACTGAAAAGATAGTCTTAGCTGCTGCCTCCCAGAGCAAGTTAGTCTTTGGTCAACAAAGTTACCATGAAATTCAACTGGAGAAGCTTTGGCTTTTCCCCACAATTCTGTCAAGAACTTAGCTGATTCACTTTTCTCTCTTCAGCCTCCCAGAGTTCTCTCTCTGGCCTGTGTCTACATAATAAAGTTATTGTTGAAGCAGTGTCTCTGAACCTTTACCTGTGAGAGACCTGTATACATGTGCTTAGGCATTGACGGCTTTCTTTTCTGCAGGTCAGGTGCTGACTACGACTTTTTGATTGGGTTCTAGAAGAATTCTGTATTTGGAATTTTAGCAAGCGAGGCTGCTTCTCAGGAGATACCCTGTATTATCACTGTTAGAAATTTTCTATTAGTGGAAAATGGTGTGGGGAGTTTGGCAGGGAGGAGAAAGTTTTCCTTGGGTACCTTAGTGGTATTCAGTAGACCTTGGAAGAGCTATAGTGTATACAGTCACACACTGGGCTGAAGACAGAATAAGAGAAGTGAATTTCTTCACACTTGTGAGTCCTTTTCTTCCTTGGCCTCTCACCTAATGAAAATAAACTTCAGGCTGGGCACAGTGGCTCACACCTGTAATCCCAGAACTTTGGGAGGCCAAGGCAGGCAAATCACTTGACATCAGGAGTTTGAGACCAGCCTGGCCAACATGGTGAAACCTCGTTTCTACTAAAAATGTAAAACTTAGTTGGGTGTGGTGGTGTGCGCCTGTAATCCCACCTACCCAGGAAGCTGAGGGGGCAGAATCATTTGGGCCTGGGAGGCGGAGGCTGCAGTGAGCTGAGATTATTCCACTGCAATCCAGCTTGGGTGACAGCAAGACTCTGTCTCAAAAAAAAAAAAAAAAAAAAAAAATTTAAAAAGCTTCAACTTAGGCCCATCTACTCACCTGTTTTGGGGCCAGTCTTGTTAGGCTCAGATTGACTGTCTGATGGTTTCCGCTCAGATCATGGCCTTTTAAACTGGCCGGGCCACTTAAAGGAAGAGTAGGTTCACAAAACTTTAATCTTCTGGCATTATCACCCTTACCTCAACCTTGGCCTCTACCTGCACTTTGGGATTTGAACATGGATCTTAAGTACTTGAATCTTGGCTTTTCCCAGTGCACAGGATTTGGCTATTCCTCTAGCCTTGAAGCCTGTGGTTGTTTCTCAAGAGTATCGCATCCTAGATTTTACTCACAGAACCTAAAACTGACCTCAAACCCTGACCCATCCACTGTTGAAAAGGACTCATGTGAGGGTGTGGGACTTGAAATTAATGTCATTGTGATGGGTCCTGGACATTTAAATGCTTTCTTAGTATGCCTCATCTTCATTCCTGCCATGGTTGTTCAAACCACACAACTTCTAGCATTTCAGGTCCCAGGTAAGAGTGCATTTCTCCCCTGAAACCAGAGAGAAATCAGACAACTGGAAGCCTGGAATTCTGCTAGGCTGCTATCTACAGGCTCAGTCCTACTAATTTTTTTTTCTTTCAGAAGCTGGGTGGTTTCCAGTTCAAGTTGGTGTCCTTATACTTTTTTACTGCTGAATAGTATTCCATATTATAGAAGCATCATAACATTTTTCTATTGATAGTAGGTTGTTTCTGATTTTTTTCTAACATAAACGTTCTATTATGAATATTCTTATACATGTTTTTATGCACTATTTCACACCATGGAATTTAAACTGCTTTGTCATACGGCATAAATATTTTGACAGATACT